CATTTCTAAGGTGACGTTTACCTTGTGCATATTGGTACGTTCAACATACACGTGTCCGGTCTTGCAGTCCAATGCATTGAGGACAAAAATAAATAAATATGAAATGAAAAACTTCAATGCCTTTTTATTCAATAATAAAGTCAAATACAAAAGAAAAACACATCAAACCCTACATAAACCCATATTCTTTACATGAGTTAGAAACGAGTTTCTAATTATGGGTTTAGTCATGGGATCAGCGAGCATATTACTGGTCGAGATGTTTCAACATTACTTCACCCTTGGTAACCTTGTTCCTAAAGAAATGATATCGTATATCTATGTTCTTAGATTTGCCATGATATTTAGGATCTTTAGTGTATGCTAAGGCCGAAGTACTATCACAGTAAACAAGTACATCTTCTTGAGCATAAGCCGTAACTCCCATCTGTCGTAGAAACCTCTTAAGCCAAATAGCTTCTTGAACAGCTGATCCAATGGTAACATATTCTGACTTCATTGTGAACAGAGCAATACAAGTTTGCTTCTTGCTACACTAAGAAACAATTCCACCTCCAAGGACAAAAGCATAACCTAAGGTGGATTTGCGTTCATCTATATCGCTTGCTCTCTGCATCACTATATCTTCTCAACTTCATATCTGTTCCTTGGTAACATATGGCTAAATCTTTTGTTCTTTGCAGGTATCTCATAACCCTCTTGACGGCTTGCCATTAAGCTTGTCTAGGATTACTTTGATAGTAGCTTACCATGCCCACGACATGGCAAATGTCCAGACGCGTGCAAAGCATCACGTACATCAAACTTCCTACTGCAGAGGCATATGGGACGTTTGCCGCTTGTTCTTTCTCTTTCTTAGTCTTTGGACACTGTTCTAAGGACAATATCGTGCCTCTTTCCATATGAATGTTTATGGGTTTGGAGTTCTCCATCTTAAATCATTCAAGTACCTTTTTAATGTAAGTCTTTTGAGACAAACTTAGAACTTTCCTTGAGTGATCTCTTGTGATCTTAACTCCAAGCGCATAATGTGCTTCACCCATATCTGTCATCTCAAAATGGGATGACAACCACGCTTTCGTGGTTTCTATGGAGGTTTTGTCATTTCCTGTTATTAGGATATCGTCAACATACTGAGAAAGTATGATAATACTTTTCCTAGATTTCTTAAGATACTCACAGTGGTCTTCCTCAATCATCTCAATACCAAATGAAGTGATTAAATTGTGGAATCTAATGTTCCACTGTCTATACGCTTGCTTGAGGCCATATATGGAACATTTTAAGCGGTAAACTTTGCGTTCTTGTCGCTTGGCCTCGAAGCCAAGAAATTGATCCATGTATATCTCCTCTTCTAGTTCTCCATTGAGAAATGTTGTCTTAACATCCATTTGGTAAAGTTCCAAATCTAGTTGAGCAACAATAGCTAAAATAAGGCGAATAGAGGCAAACCTCACCACAGGGGAGAATGTCTCTTCATAGTCTACACCCAATTGTTGAGTGTATCGTTTCACCACAATGTGTGCCTTATATTTGTCAATTGAACCATCCGTCGTGTGTTTGATTTTTAAAACCCACTTGTTTCCATGCCCAGGCGGAAGGTCAACTAACTCCCAGATAATACTTTTGTCCATGGAGCTCATCTCTTCCTCCATTACAGTTATCCACTTTTCTTTGGCCGTTGAAGACAACACTTCTTTGTAAGAAAAAGGTTTGTGTTCCTCTGAAGGTATGCAAATGTAGGCTTCTTCATCAACCTCAAAATGACATTTGGGAATGTGGCCTCTCTTGCTTCTTTGAACTGTGTGACCTTCAATTTCAGAGGGTACGCTCCCATCATTGGGCGTATTCTCTTGAGTGTTTATGGATACATTACACCCACTAGGTTGTGTACTCACACCTAGATCAAGTCCTCCTACATCATATTCAATGACCATTAGATTGGAAATCAATTATCCTCCTTCGCTCGAAGATGTTACGAGTTCTTCATCTTTCCCTAACTCATGGAGATCAAGGTTTTTGACAATATCACTAAGTTTTGGGAAGTCATTCTCTATGAATTCCACATCACGTGAATCAATCTCGGTTCTCCCTCCAACTAGATGTTCACCATACATCACATGACCTTTCGAGTTTTCACAATATCTTATAAAGTTATGTTTATTTGCTCTAGGACCCAACTTTCCAAACTTATGTGATTGATTATGAACAAATCCAGCACAATCCCAAGGATGCAAATTACCCATATTGGGTTTTACCCATATTGGATATGGTTCAATAAAGAATGATTTTATTTGCTTAGATTTGATTGATTCTTGTTCTTCTACTTCTTTAGTAACTATTATTAAACATGTTAATTCTGAAACATGGCATGCTAGACTAGGGTATATAGGGTAAGATATAATGACAAGGTTAGTTAGAGAAGGCCTGTTGGTGTCACTAACTATTGTCAATCTGCCTGTATGTGAGCCTTATTTAGCTGGAAAAACAGTTAGAAAGCCTTTTGGAAAGGTTGTTCAAGCTACTCAACCGTTAGAGTTAATCCACTTTACATCTGTGGACCAATAAGTGTGAAGGCCCGTCATGGCGCCTCTTATTTTCGAACTTTGATTGAAGATTACACGCGATATGGTTATGTGTACTTGATCATTCATCGGCATGAAGCTTTAGATTGTTTCAAATGTGGTATCAGAGCGTGCTTAATGCGACCTCACACCCCATACGATGGTTTGTGAACAGATTTCAAACACTTTTACCCACCTGGGTCGAGCTCCACTTCCATCAACCACCTTAATGCCAAGCCTAGTAGCGTGAGCAGGGCATTAAGGTGGTCAATGTTAATACAAAGTGTTTTGGAAAATTAAATGTACGGATGACAATTTAACCGCCAAAATCACTTCCCGCGAGTAACTGCACCAAATAGGGAAAATTTTAAGATGAAAATTCGAGTATTTAATGGATATGGGTAACTGCGGGGTAGATAATTATTCAAGGGTAAAGTACAAAAAACTACTTCAACTATTGGTGTCACGACACTCTCATACCTCATCTTTTAAAATTGACAATATCATACCTCATCTTTAGAATTTGGTCTGATGTTATACCTTCCGTTACTTAACCGTTTACTTTTCAATTAAATGCTGACGTGACTTGATTCAAGGCCCACTTTCTATAAAAAATCATTAAAATATTATAAAAACTAAAAAAATTTATTCAATATTTTGTAAATATTAAAATCATAAAGAAAAGTAAAAAAAAAAAAAAAAAAACCAACCCTCAGTTCGTCCCTCCCCCTCCCCCTCCCCCCTCCTCTCTCTTCTCCCCCATCTTCATCTTCTTCCCCCCCCCCCAAAAAAAAATAAAAAAATTCCAATTTGTCTTCCCCCCACATCCACCCTCAGTTTGTCTTCCCCCCGCACCCACCCCCCTCTTCTCCCTCCTGCAACCTAGAAAAAAAAGAAAAAAAAACTCAAATCCCGTCGGCGGGAAAATGGGTGCGCGGAGAAGGTGGAGGATGGGTGTGGAAGAGGATGTGGAGAATGGATGTCCCTCCCCTGCCCCCTCCTTTCTCTTCTCCCCCATCTTCATCTTCTTCCCCACACCTGCAACCCCTAAAAAATAAAAAAATTCCAATTTGTCTTCCCCCCGCACCCACCCTCAGTTTGTCTTCCCCCCTCCCCACCACCCCCCACACCCACCCCCTCTTCTCCCTCCTACAACCCAAAAAAAAAAAACTCAGATCCTGTCGGAGTGAAGATGGGTGCGCAGAGAAGGTGGATGATGGGTGCGGAAGAGGATGTGGAGAATGGTTGAGAGTGGTGGATTTGGCAAGGGGTTGGGTTTGTTTTGGAGGGGGGGGGGGAAGATGAACTGGGTTCGCTTTGGATATTTTTATTTTTATTTTTTTTCCTTCTTCTTCTTCTTCCTCCTTCTTTCTAGGTTGCAGGGGGTTGTGTTTTTTTTTTTTGTTAGGGGGGGGGGGGGAGGAACTGCGTTGGGTTTGGGATTTTTTTTATTTTTATCCTTCTTCTTCCCTCAAGGGGGGGGGGCGGGTTAGGGGGTTAATGGGTTTTCAAATTTTTTTTTTTTTTTTCTTTTTGCTTGAAGATTAAGCAGGGAAGAAGATGAAGATGGCGAGACAGAGAGAGAGGGGTGTGACGAGCAGAGGGATTTTTTTTTTGTTTAATACTTTTCTTTATTATTTTAAAAATATTTAATAATTTTTTTTAGTTTTTAATAATATTTTAATGATTTTTTAATAGAAAGTGGGTCCCAAATCAAGCCACGTCAGCATTTAACTGAAAAGTAAATGGCCAAGTAACGGAATGTATAACATTAGACCAAATTCTAAATATGAGGTATAACATTGTCAATATTCAAAGATGAGGTATGAAAGTATTGCGACACTAATAGTTGAGGTAGTATTTTGTACTTCATTATTCAATTTTGGTTTTGGTGATGGTGATGGGGATACTGCCCCGCTTTTATTTAAAATATATAATAAAATGCAAGCTAGCTGATACATATGATGCGACTGCGAAAATCTTTGTGGCCTCTGTGGCACAAATACTCTATAATTTGCCGGAGCCCCCAATCTCAAGCCCCTCATATCTAGTTGCTCGACGGTAAAATTTGCCGGCGACAGTGAGGCCCTATTGTCTTCAAATTATTCCGGCATCATCTCAACCACGGAACCGCAGCCAAGTTCTAGATTTCCCACCGTGACGGGCTACAGCCACCAAAGCCCCGCAAAAAACCAATCCAGCCCACCCTTTCTCCTCACTGCAGAAGCCTTCTTACTGTCGCCGCCACCTTATCCCTTTCGAATCTCCCGCACCTAATATTCTTGATGCGTATGGGCTAAGAAACAACAAAATTCATGTTGCATGTAATTACTAATTGCTCTTTCTTTTTATTTTTCAGTTTTAGCGAGAGTTATTATTTCAACAAAAATGAGCATCGAATCCAGCATGAGAGCTACAAAATGAGATAAGCATATATTGGCATGACAGCAGAAGACAGGAATCAGCTGCAGGTATACATTTCCAGAGTACGAACGTAAAATATTAGTTCAGGGTTCGTTTCCCTCCAATACAACCAAAAACAAATATTAGTTCAGGAAAGAAATATATAAACTACTTTATGGCACAACTCTAATGAAGAAAACTTAGCTGCCTAGCTGGTCCACATCAGACAGCTCCGAAAATGCTCAACCAAGCAGAATGCTTGCACCCAATGCATCAAAAACTTTAATGCTGATTTAGGAGCTTTTCATGTCAACCTTTCTTGTGACTGATACTTAGATTCCCAAATCCTTGTTCGTATCCCTGTAGTCGTATATTATACATTATGTATACGGTGCCAAATACTTCAACGCACAATTACTACCATTGTGTATTTCAATCATGTAGTTGCTCGTACTACGGCCTACCATTAATCTAGCCCATCCATAGCTTCAGAACTCTATCCTTACCACCAGAAGCAACCTTCCCACCATCTGGACTCCAATCGACAGCAAAAACCTTTCAAAAACAAATTCAACATTCAAAAATGGGTCTTACCATAGGTCAATATAAAGAGGGCACGTTTGTGTGCATAAATCTTATCACGGGTGCATTTGTCTTCCTTCATTCGCGGCATTAACTGCTGTGTCCTTATATAACAGGTGGAATGAATATAAAGGCCAGCAGACAATAAAACACTGGAGGCCTTGGCTTCCCTCAAAGTAGCCCAACTTGTCTTTGTGAATATTCAGAGGAGTACAATTAGAGACTTGCGTAAGTACACATGCATTGATGTACGTTAGGGTCAATTGATTTAGTTGATGTCTACAGTTTGGAATTGGTATCTGTTTTTGGGAATCTTCCTATATCTCTATGTTTCCATCCTCCTCCAAGCATGCTTCAGTAACCAAAACAGTGTATCAGTGCCCTTGCGGTGAAGGGAAAATATATACCTCATCTGCATGGCCTGGAAGGTCTTGTTTTAGTGCCCGTGCCCTGATATCCCAAACCTATATGATTGAAAGAAAAAAATCAATCCCAAAAAACTCCACCACAACCAAAAAGGGAATAGCACGCAGGCAAAGGTACACAATAACAAAACAAGTGTAAGGAATCTGAAGTTAGTTGCTCAAAAATTGGTGTTCATACGTGATGGAAATATTCAGTAATCAGGAAACTGAAAATAGAAATCAAGGTTATACCAATGTACATAACCACAAACTACCAGGTCAAAGCTAATAATCTGCCTTGCAGTGGTGAAATCATTAACAGAAATTAAAAGATAACATTTTATTTTTTGGATGTATGAAAACAATATCAGGGGTTGATAGGGTTTGGTATCAAACTCAAGTTATTTGAACGTCATGTGGAAACTAATATCTAGTTTACCAGAACTGGGATTTAAACCATTAGTAAAATTTGAGATGATTCTTTTCGTGACATGGAGAATTATCAAAATACGAAGAAACCACATGTCAATTATTTTTTCCACTTACACCACATTACATTTCGTGACGTGTTTCTAATGCAATGTGAAATCTTACAGTCTCACTCTTTTTAATAGGAATCCTTATCACCACCAAACAATAAAAAGTTCACAACCAGTAAATGGTTTACCTTGAGAGTTGAATCTTTGCTGCCACTTAAATGTAGCCTACTGTCTGCCGACCAGCTGTGAGGCAACATGTAATAATTAGCCATACAACATAAGCATTCGAAAAACAGAAAGAATTGATATCAATTCAGACCTGATCTGGTAGACAGGTCTGTTGGAAATTCAAATCAAAAAAAGGTTGCTACTAGCTATTGTTGAAAATCAATGTCAAAGTTAGGCATGGAAAGTTAGGCAATGTTAGGTATGGTTGAATAAAAATTATTAGGTGCATTTAATGTGTTTTGTGTGGTAATAAATAATCTTAGTTTAATCATTTGGTTTGCTATAAATACCCAAGTTCTCAAGCATTGTAAATCATCCCATCCAAAATCCCACTTCCAATTGTGAAGAAGCTTGTAAGCTTTCTTATTCCAATAGTTTGTAAACCTTTTTCATATATCAAAGTCCAAGTGTTTTGCCAAAGCTTGTTGCTTCCCTCCTTTCTCTATTTCTTTCTTTGTCCAATTTTATTTGAGAGTGCAAAGTGAAAGAGGTGTGATAGAGTTTGTAAACTTATCACCCACATATTTTGGTATTGAGTTAGTAAACTGTCAAATACCAACAATTGGTATCAGAACCAGAATACCATTCTGGCAGGTGCAGCAGTTATGGCGTCCAACTTAGTGCAACTCCAAGTTCCCACATTGAAGAAAGAAAATTATGAAAGATGGTGCATCCAATTCAAAGCATTGTTTGGATCACAGGAGCTATGGGAAGTTGTCAGTAGTGGGTATGTTGTACCAACTGCCGAGCAAGAAGCCGTATATACTGCGGATCAAAGGAACACTCTCAAGGACTTACGAAAGAAGGACCAAAAGGCGCTGTATCTTCTATACCAGGGTTTGGAAGATTCAACGTTCGAGAAGGTTGCAGAAGCAACAACGAGCAAGTAAGTATGAGATACACTCAGTACAATCTACAAAGGAGTAGATCGAGTCAAGAAAGTGAGGTTACAATCACTTCGAGCAGATTTTGAAACTGCTCATTTGAATGAAGGGGAGAGCATCTCCGACTATCACTCAAGGCTCATTGTGATAGTAAATCAGATGAGGAGAAATGGCGAGAGACTCGATGAAGTACGAGTTGTGGAGAAGATACTCCGGTCACTCACATCTAAGTTTGAGCATGTGGTGACTGCCATTGAGGAATCCAAGGATTTGGAGGTGATGAGCGCAGAAGAGCTACTAGGATCCCTCATAGTTCACGAGCAACGCATTCAGAAGAATGCAAGCCCCACAACGCTAGAGCAAGCTTTGGAGTCAAAGTTTAATATTGACAAACCAAATAAAGGTCGTGGGCAGTGGAACTCACGTCGTGGGAGCTCATCCAACCGTAGCCGAGGATGAGCCCGAGGAAGAGGTCGAGGCTATGCACAAAATCAAGGTCAGTCTCAGGAGTGGAGATCTCCTCGAGGAAAGGCGCATATCCAGTGTCACAACTGTAAGCAATATGGACATTATGCCAATGAATGTTCACATAAAAATGGTGAGCATGTCAACATGGCAGAATCAAGTGGAAATACTGATGAAGAACTTACAGTCTTACTAGCACACCATGATTCCAGTAGCCAACAAGATGTTTGGTATTTGGACTCTGGTGCAAGCAATCACATGTGTGGAAAGAAGGAGTTTTTTGCCGAACTCAAAGAAGGGGCCTATGGATCTGTAAGTCTTGGTGACTCCTCAAAGTTGCCAGTTGAAGGCAAAGGGAAGATCAAGATCATCCAGAAGGATGGAAGAGAAAAATACATCTCCGATACCTACTACATACCAGGTATGAAGAGCAACATTCTGAGCATTGGTCAACTGCTCCAGAAAGGGTACATTATACATATGGAGAACATGCTTCTCACTCTCAGGAATGCAAGGAGAAAGCTTATTGCACGTGTTCGAATGTCAAAGAACCGGATGTTTCCGTTGAATTTGAACACAAAGATTGGAAGCTGCAACATCGGTGTAATGGAAGATGAGTCATGGAAATGACATCTTCGATTTGGCCATCTTAATTTCAATGGCCTAAAGTTGCTGTCAAGTGGAGGAATGGTTCGTGGTCTACCCCAGATTGAAGCCACACGCCAAGTATGTGAAGGTTGTGTGCTTGGCAAGCAAGCACGACTATCGTTCCCTGTTGGTGATACATGGAGAGCAAAGGCACCACTATAGTTGGTGCACACAGATATATGTGGTCCATTGGATCCCATGTCTTATGGAGGTAATAGGTATTTTATTACCTTCATTGATGATTTCAGTAGAAAGACTTGGGTCTATTTTCTCAAGGAGAAGTCAGCTGCCCTAAAAATTTTCAAGGAGTTCAAGGCACTCACAGAGGCAGAAAGTAACCACAAGCTTGTGGCTGTGAGATCAGATAGAGGTGGAGAGTACACCTCCAATGCTTTCCAAGCATACTGCAAGTAGCAAGGAATTAGGCATCAACTTACTGCTGCCTATACCCCACAGCAAAATGGGATAGCCGAAAGAAAGAATCAAACCATCCTTGACATGACAAGGTTCATGCTTAAGGAGAAGAATTTGCCAAAAGAGTTATGGGCAGAAGCTGTAGCTTGTTCGATTTATTTGTTGAATCGATGTCCAACAAAGAGTGTCAAGAGGATGACACCACAAGAGGCTTGGAGTGGATACAAGCCGAATGTTACACACCTAAGAATTTTTGGGTGTGTTGCATATGCTCAAGTTCCAGAAGCCAAGAGGAGGAAACTTGATGATAGAAGTGAGAAGTGTGTGTTTGTGGGCTATAGTGAAGAGTCCAAGGCATACAAGCTCTACAACCCACTAACTGGCAAACTAGTGGTTAGTAGAGATGTCATCTTCAGTGAGGAAGAGACATGGACGTGGAACAACAAAGAAGTCAGTAAAGAGAAGATCGTCTCCACTGATTTTGAAGAACCAGAAGTTGTACCACCGATTGAGCAACAGCCTGCTCAAACAATCACAACAACTCCAGTGCACAGAATTGCAAGGAGTGGTCCTACATCTAGTGAGGAAAGCAGCTCCTCAACTCCAATGAGGTTAAGGAGTCTCACAAAGATTTATGGACAAGAAGAAGAAGAAGAAACCAACCTTTTCTGCTTGTATGCAGACCACGAGCCTTTCTCATTCAATGAAGCTGTGGAAGAAGATTGTTGGAAGAAAGCCATGGAAGAAGAGATCCATGCCATCGAGAAGAATGACACTTGGGAGCTGACAAAGCTCCCACCAAATCAGAAGGCTATTGGTGTCAAGTGGGTTTACAAGATCAAACGCACTGCAGATGGGAGTGTGGATCGATACAAATCAAGGCTTGTAGCAAAGGGCTACAAACAGAAGTATGGAGTGGACTATGATGAAGTCTATGCTCCAGTTGCGAGACTTGACACGGTAAGATTGCTAATCTCTCTTGCCGCACATCATAAATGGAAAATTTATCAACTAGATGTCAAGTCAGCCTTCCTTAATGGAGTACTTGAGGAAGAAGTGTACGTGGAACAACCGGAAGGCTTCCAAGTACAAGGAGAAGAAGATAAGGTGTATCGTTTGAAGAAGGCTTTGTACGGCCTCAAGCAAGCACCACGAGCTTGGAACTCAAGGATCGACAACTACCTTCACCAAAATGGATTTCAGAAATGTCCATACGAGCATTCAGTTTACATGAAGAATGGTGAAAAAGGGGAGTTCTTAATTATTTGTCTCTATGTAGATGATTTATTGTTTACAGGAAACAATGAGGCAATGTTCCATGAGTTCAAGCAATCCATGTTCAGTGAATTCGAGATGACTGACAATGGATTAATGTCATACTTTCTTGGCATAGAAGTGAAGCAAGAAAGTGATGGTATCTACATCTCTCAACAAAGGTACATGAGAGACATATTGAAGAAGTTCAATATGGACAAGTGCAACACTGCCAATACCCCAGTCGCAACTGGATTGAAGCTGTCCAAAGGAGGAGAGGGTGAGTTTGTAAACTCAACAGTGTACAAAAGCCTCGTTGGAAGCCTAAGGTACCTTACAATCACAAGACCTGATATAGTTTATGGTGTTGGACTCGTGAGTCGATACATGGAAACACCAAGGGAGTCTCATTGGCTGGCCGCCAAGAGAATTTTGAGGTACATAAGAGGTACTCTAAACTATGGTCTATTTTATAATTTTGGTGAAGATGCAAAATTATTTGGTTATTCAGATAGTGATTGGGGAGGTGACCAAGATGAAAGGAAAAGCACAACTGGCTATGTGTTTTTTCTAGGATCAACAGCTTTCTCATGGACTTCAAAGAAGCAATCAATTGTTGCTTTGTCATCATGTGAAGCCGAGTATGTTGCTGTAGCCTCAACCGTGTGTGAGGCAATTTGGTTAAGAAATCTGTTGAAGTCAGTGTGTCATCCACAAGTGGAATCGACTGTGATTCACGTAGATAACGTGTCTGCAATCAAACTTGCAAAGAATCCTGTTCAACATGGAAGGAGCAAGCACATTGATACCAGGTTCCATTTTCTAAGGGACCATGTGAAGCAAAAGACAATTGAACTTGTCTACTGTCACACCAAGGAACAAGTGGCAGACATCTTCACAAAGCCATTGCCAATTGAAACATTCCGGCTACTGCGTGAAATGCTAGGAATGAAGGCGTTTTGATTTGAGGAGGTGTGTTGGAAATTCAAATCAAAAAAAGGTTGCTACTAGCTATTGTTGAAAATCAATGTCAAAGTTAGGCATGGAAAGTTAGGCAATGTTAGGTATGGTTGAATAAAAATTATTAGGTGCATTTAATGTGTTTTGTGTGGTAATAAATAATCTTAGTTTAATCATTTGGTTTGCTATAAATACCCAAGTTCTCAAGCATTGTAAATCATCCCATCCAAAATCCCACTTCCAATTGTGAAGAAGCTTGTAAGCTTTCTTATTCCAATAGTTTGTAAACCTTTTTCATATATCAAAGTCCAAGTGTTTTGCCAAAGCTTGTTGCTTCCCTCCTTTCTCTATTTCTTTCTTTGTCCAATTTTATTTGAGAGTGCAAAGTGAAAGAGGTGTGATAGAGTTTGTAAACTTATCACCCACATATTTTGGTATTGAGTTAGTAAACTGTCAAATACCAACAAGGTCCAACATGGCCTCAGAAAGCTGCAACAAATTTTCCAGTAGTACCGTTCCATAACTTGACAGACCTATCAAATGAGGTACTTGCTATCCATTGGCCATCAGGTGAAAAGCAGACGTGGTTTACAAGCTGATACCAAGAAAACATTTTCATAGATCCATTATAAAGCTTAAATGAAAAAAAACCTCCAACTACAGTAATTATAGCTCTAAGTTTAAGGCTTGTGCTGCAACGTAGATGCATTGTGCATATTTTGGCGACTCAAAATTGCATCATTTCATCCACTATGAAATAAAACATCTGACTGAAAGATGAAAATTGGAAAATTGATCCGAATTAACTTGCAGAACTGAAAGCAATAGTCTGTTGATTGGCATGACCTTTTTTTTAGTTGTAGTAAGAGGCGGTGAGGAATAAAAGAAATTGCATGTTTGGTTCCTCAGAAAATAGCTTCGTGTTCCATAATAATGAAAAATATGTTTGCCCAAAAAAAAAACTAGAAATATGTTACCAAACAAGCTCTCACAATTTGACCAATAAAAAAGCTCTCACAACTGGCTTGAATTTTAAAGCATAATAATGTATAGATAGCTGCAGACCCTGCAGGAAATGCTCTAAAACAATGTAAGATTTGCCTTTCATTTAACCAACTAAATTCACGTAAAACGCAGTTTAAAAAGACTCAACTTTACGAGTGTGGAATGGGAACTGGGATGAAGCACTGAATAAGCGAGCATCAAAGATAACGTTCTTCTCAGGAGATTAAAAGTTGACGGTTCATCATTGAAATCTTTTCAAAGGATGGAATCCTAAATTCATGGCCCGAGTAGCTAACTCTCAACGATTGTGTAGTAACTCACCACAGGAGAGTTAGGAGGATGGACCATTATGATTTACAAACAAAGAAGATGTAACTGTCAGACCACGCCTAAAGCTAAAATTTGACACCCCAAAAAGAGGAATGAAACTTAAGTAAGCCTTCATTAACGAAAAAAACTCAGGTAAGCTGACAAACAAGATTATTTTAAGTCATAACTCATAAGCACATTGACACAGAAACACAAATTGAAAAATTAAGGTAGCATTGCAATCCAAACAAAAATTATCAGGTACTTGGACTACAGTTAACAACCGAGCATAGCATTCAAAAATATTTTACCTGTTGGTGACCTGTCATGCGAGTTTTAGGTTCCCATAGAAACATTGTAAAATCATCAAATCCAGAAACCAATCTTTCAGGGGCATTGCCTTTCATTTTGTTATATCTTTCCAAAGCTGCCTATATCTCAGAAATTGAAAATATAATTAGTTTCATGGATGGGGAATAGTGGTGGAGAGAGAGAGAGAGAGAGAGAGAGAGAGAGAGAGAGAGAGAGCATATATCAGGAGAGGTTATCACTTTTAGTCAGCTAACAGTAACCTAATGACAACACTGACATGTGGCAATCAATGTTATTAAAACTCTCAAAAGAAAAGCTTCAAAAAATCTGTCTTCAAGCTTTAGTGAGTTCTGAAAGAATCAGCACCGTAAAATCCATAGTATACACTTCTTCAAAATGAGTATTCCACCATAAGATTGTTCAATCAAAGGTCAAGACTTTGCAGTTCCCAATTGAAAAAGAATGCAATAACAGAGATTCAAAGGAAACATTTCTCAAAGAAAACAGATCTTGTCCTCCCCAACATTAATGTTAAAGATAAAAACAAATGCCTGGGTGGCAGGCCTGAATCCTTAAAATTGGTGAAAGGGGTACCGAATTTGTTCTCTTTTGATACTAAAGTATCGCTATGAAAAAAATAAAACCACATTACTCGTTATAAATGAAACATATGAGACCTGAACAAAATAAACAATATCAAACCAAACAAGATTAATGCAACAACCAAAGCAGATGATAAACAATTACCTTCTTCATTTCCTCTGGAGACAAATATTGCTTGCCAGTGTGATCAAATGCTCCAGTACGAAGAACATATTCAGTTCTCAATGTAAGAGAGTTAACCCAATGACCATGACCCTAAACAAACCATACAAAATATCAAAGGTCATGAAATGTAAAATACAGATATTAAGATGCAAGAGCGTCAACAAGCACCATTCCATGGACATGGCATATTAAATTAGACAAATAAGCATATTACTAACCATCAGTGACTTAAAGGGTATAACGAACAACAGAACAATTGAATTACCAAATTATAAGCTAGAATTTGAAATTCAAATTACTAATAAAAAAGACGCACACTGTAAGAAATCCAGAAAACCATTGATAAACAAAATAAGGAATACGAATAGTCTGTATGCCCTCACAAAGAAAGGCCTGAAAGATGAGATGGAGTTAAAATCCGCAAAAGAAAACCACTATATTTAAGTCAAGAAGCACTTATCAGTATTTAAAACATCTACGAAATTAACACATCCACACATAACAATAAAGCATATAGAAATAAGTTATAGGGTATGGACAATAAACAACAATTTAAAAGAAAACTATGACATGAGACTACACCAAACAACTGACTGGAGAGGAAAATAAATGAGGTGATCTCAATGTCAATAACTAAATTACATATTTACAAAGGGAATGAGCAATGATGCAAAAAAAAGAGATTCCAGACTAGCACGACCTCTAGATGTAATACCTACCTTCAGTTCACGAATTAGTTTTCCTTGAGTGGTCTCCCATACTTTGATAGTACAATCCTGGGAGCTGTAACAGTTAAGATAGAGATAGTTGTTATAAATCTGTAGCCAACTTCAGCTCAATAATATCGAACATATAAGAGCTACTTGTATTGTCGTCTCAGAAGTCTTGGCCGACAATTCTTTTCAAATAAAGAATGTCAATAATCTTTTCAAGGTCATCCAATCAGTTTTCTTTTGTTTCTAAGTAGCAGGGGTTTAGAGAAAGGCTATTGACAAGATCTATAAGAAAATTCAAGGTCTTCTTACAACACAAGGGAACAAGGTGTAAATGGATGTATGTGTAAGTGGAAACATTTAAATTGATGAACATCATTATTATCCAAAAAGTCCATACAATTCGTATAAACATGTTGAACATAACTAAAAAATATTTCATTTAGTTTTATTGAAAGAAATAGGAAAAATAATATACCCTGTATAAATGACACCATCTCCACCCCATTTTACACAAGTTACTGCAAGGGTGTGACCACTAAGACATATAACAGATTTCCTCAATGTAACATCCCATATGCGTGCATCACCATCCTTGCTAGCACTTACAAAGCGTCGACACAGAGCGCTAAGGTGGACTGGTTCCCAAGAAATTCCAGTAATCCATTTCTTGTGGCCCTAACAAATGAATAAAATAATACTTTCATCAAACAATTATCATAGAAAACACATACTTCCCAGTAAGGGATTGTCAACGAAAAGGCAATTTTCAGGAACCCTCTTCTTTATTTAGTTGTTCTCATATAGTTGTCATCATGGCATCATCTTGATGGAACCTAAATGGGCATACAGACAACCTTATATGTTGATTTAATCTAAATTTCAAATAGTAAATTTCCACATCCAAACCCAAGGCAGAAGATGTCAACTTTCATGTTATGAAGATGTCAAAATTCATGACACATAAAACCATTAATTACAAATTACAATACTGGCAATCTTTGCTTCACTCTTTATGGGAATTGGAACTCATTACTTTATAACATGCACAGAGAAAAAGAGAAGGCATGTATTCCTGTTAGTTCAGCTTTTGAGCATTAAAGTATAGCAAGTTCCTGAATGTAGAAGAGTTTCTCCGTATATGCATCACAAGCAACAGATTACAATGTGAAACAAACAACAGAGAAGTTTATAATGATCAGCGATTGAAGCATAGAGACATACAACAAGCGGATTGCCTGATGGCTTCCCTGTCTGTGGATCCCAACATTGAAGTTCTCCAGACTTGCTGCCACTAACAAGATGCTTACCATCATCAGGTGACCATGCAATAGATAGGACCCAATTCTTATATCCTTAATAAAACAAGGTCCACTGTTAGTGCAAGTAATAGAACGACAAGTTATGAGAATGACTACCCTCTTAACTTATAATTTGTTATTTTTATGGGAAAAAAGTTTGAAACTTATAACTCATAAAATGTAATAAACTTTAATCTAATGTGAACCGTCAAGTGAAACAAGATTTAAAAGAAAAAAAAAATTGAAAGAACTTTATTCTCACTAAGTATGCAGCGCACCACAGCAAGGATATGAACTACAGTCTATGTGACAAAGCCTAACAATAAGTAATTGCATTATCAATCCCTAATCCCTACTGTAATCCAGAAAAGTGTTCTCCGATATCCAAATCATCTGTAATTCCTTTTCCTTTTTTTTTTTTTTTTTTTTTATATGCAAATTTTATTCGCTGTTTCATATTACTTTTCAAAGTTTTCATAGTGTACAAACATGATGTAATGTTCAAAAGGTATAAAAACTAGGAATGTGAAATAAAACTTCGACTCTGAACCTGTACATGTGTGCAATGGCGTCTGAGTATTAAGGTCCCATAGTCGGACAGTTGTATCACCCGAACCGCTAGCCAACTGTTGGCCATCAGGACTGATAAGCTTATATTTATATATATTTTATATCAAATTCACTTGTCTTTTCTTAGTTAGTTCCTTATATTTTTGAGTTATTTACTTTGTTTTTGTGTTTTGTAGGATTTGTCAAGTAAAGAAAAGAAAAATAACACAAGTCAAATTTTAAGTAACAAATTCGTCAAAACTGCCTGTGCAGGTCAGCTGACTTTGGAAGCAAGTTGCGGACAGCTCAGAATGAATTAGAGAATGAGCCTTATATGCTTGGAAAGCTACGGATGTCTATTTTCTGGAGCATTTCACGGATTGTTAATATCATTTTTCTAGAATAAGTTATGGCCGTTTTAACACTGAAAGGTTCCCAAGAGGCTGAGCAGTTTGTAACTGACAAGAAAGCATTGAAAGCAATAAATCCAATAAAATTAGTAGCCAAAACTGATGCAGCCAAGAACAAGCCAGCTGATACCTATTCAAATATCAGAGGAAATGGAAAATTAAGTGGGAGTAATGGGCATAAAGGCTGCCCAAAGAGTTACAATTGTTTTAGCATTTCCTCTCACTTATTGTCATCACTAAATGGCTGTTAGTGGGGTGAGTTATGGGGAAAAAACTGTGGCAGCAAAAAAGAAGAAAAGGGCTGCAGGTTGCAGCGGCAAAGAGTGGTAAAAAAGGTGAAAAAAAAGATAAAAAAGAAGGCTGCTGCGTTGGGGAAGGAAGGAAAGGAAGGAGGAAATCTTGGCATTCTCTTCTTTCGGTTTTATCTTCTCAAACTCATGTCTTTCTTTTTGTTTAATTTGAGAATTATGTGTAACTAATTTTTAGTAGTTAGGGGCTGTTTTGAAGCCCCGAATATGATTGCAAGTTTGTTATGACATTTCGTTTGAATTACTTTTATGAATGAATGAAAATTGGTTCACTACTTGTCTCATTGATGAATTCTTTATGTGTTTTCTACGGATGCATACTTAGTAAGCATATCTAGGATTCTAATGCTATGAATATGTGTGTGTCTGCCCTTATCGAATGAGGACCTACATATGTTCTCGAGTAGTACTTGTTAATTGCGATTAACATGTGAATCAATTTCTAGGATAAGTAAGACAACACCAGTACTTACGATGCCTTGTGATGACTCAAACTCTTTTCATTCTTAATGATTTCTAATTGTTAAATCTATGAACACGCCATTCTAGATTGCATGCTAGGGACTAAGTTAAGTTGAAAACGTCATTCTCTTAACATACCACATAAGAAAGAGTAATAGGTTGAGTTCTAACATTGAGCCAACTTGAGCATCTTCATCCGAATATAAAAGGAATTTGAATGAAACATAACATGTTTGTATGATTATTTGGTGGTGGATAGCAATTCCCCTAATTTGTTTTTCTTAATTTGCGAACTACTTAAAATCTGTTTTTGTCCTGTTTTTGTTTGATTTAATTTAAATAGCAAATCAAATCGAAAAATCCCAAAAATTTGTATAAGTGTAGCTCTGTGTGTCTAGTGTTTTCATATAAAATTTCGTAGACTTTAGATAAGTGTAAGTCGGTCTAATAATTATATTTCAGTGGCTGGCCAGTAAGGACAGCAGCCCAGTTTTTGTGATATTTTAAGTAGTTAGATAAAACAATCTTATGTGGGAAAGACCCTTATTTTCATATGCTACAATTGGCAAATCTTATTGTTAATAAGGAAAATTAATAGGACATTTGTGTGCTACATTGTGGTGTGCTTTTAATCCTATCAAGGACAAAAAGCAACTGAGAGTACAGCTTCTGTGTGACCTATAGTGACAAAACATAGCTTTGATACAATAATAAACAAAATTATATTCTCAACGGCATAGTAGTAGCCAAAATTGGCATTCTGTGAGCCAATCCAGAAAAGGTTGATAGCATAAATTACCAGCAATTGTTGCCGAGCAACGATGAATGGGACGAATTCGGAAAACAGCTTGTGGTTGATAAACTATGTTGAGTACCTTCTCCACATAAATTGGCAGGGTTTTTCACCAGAAAAGAGTATCAAATGAAAAAGCGGCCCCAAAATCTTTCAGTTGCCGTTGTTTAAGATATACACAATCATGGCAGCTGAAATGCTGACTAAAAAATTTTCCAATATCTAACTCACTTTTCTTCTTCCCTGCATATTTTCCAAGTGACTCAAGAAGTTCCTGATCTTGTATATAGAAAGCATAAGGTACCCTCTCCTCCTGAACGAACCCGAAACACAGACTTCATTACTTGTATGAGCATGGAAAACCACAACACATGAAGCAGGATCCAAAAAAATGTCACAAATCACTTCTTGCTAAAATATACTAAATTTGGAAAAATATAGACTCATACAGGGATTCAAAGATTCAAATTTATATATAATAACGCCCACGAAAATTTTGTAAATTTCAAAAGTCAGCACCCACTATTGTTAGTTGTGTTCAACTATTCGTACCATACAAAATTATATTTTTGCGATCAAAACGTAAATTGCTACAATCCCATCAGCCCAAGAGACATGCTTCTTCAGTTTTTGATACAAAATTTAAATTACAAATTGAAATTCTGCAACTTTAATGAGGGGAAGTACAAAAAATCAACAGCACGATGCAAAATTTGTAAAGTAGTAAAAAATGATTATACATTTTTAAGAAGCTGATTGACGATTTGTTGAAGGTGTTGCGGCTCAGTGTTCAGAGGAAGGTAGACGGAGCTTCCTAATGGAGTCCCATCTGGGTCCGTCAGAAGGCACAACAGTCTTCCTCTCTGCTTCTTCCAGCTCCATGGCCATTGCTGATGAAATGTCCAAGTTGGAGAATCGTTCCTTTGTAAAAGTTGAGATTTTGGGGACTATATATAGCTATCGGTTCTGCGAGTTCAGAAATTGGGGGCGAGGGGTTTAGGGTTTTAGGGATTAGGGTTCGTCAGATGCATCGGTGATAGCGGCTTATTGGTTTCACGTCGGTGTCTTGAGTTCGACTCCTCCAACCAACAAATTAGCTGGGTTGTTCATAATTCATTGCTCCTACACCCAACAGTATGATTTTTTTTATTTATTATTATTTTTTATAAAAATTATATTGAAGAGAGGGTATTCGAACTCAATATCTGATGTAAATTTAATCTCTTATTACAAGCCATTTTCAGGAATTTTTTTACGAGGCCCTATGTTTGTAAAGTTTTTTATTTTTAATTTTTTTTTTAATTTTAGAGAGAAGTACAATTTTTATTGAAATAAGGCAAATATGTACATCAATATGGAGGATGGGGTGCACTGTGGACTTCAGTAAAACCTCGCCGAGAATTTCAATTCAGACAAAGGGAAAAGAGTGTTCTGCATAATTAACAATATAACCATCCTCCATACAATACAATCATCACAAATTAATTAAGTAACACCCTTAGTTGAAGCATCTTGGACTAAAATTGGTGGGTATCCACACCAAAGCATCTCAGCCACACATCCAAGTCCAACACGCATGAGTTTATCCGCTACTTGATTTGCACCCCGACGAACATGCAGTAACATTGTCTGATGAAGGGAACCTAGAAAATGATGATGTCATTAATTAAAGGCCCCATGTTTAATGTATCTACACCTCGACATTGCATAGCTGCCAAAGCTATTGCAGAATCTCTTTCAAAACAAAAAGGCCTCCCATATGGAAATAGTTCCAACACGAACAATACAGCCCTTCCAGCTGCCAAAAATTCCATCTGAAGAGGAGATGTAGCGTGATCAACAGAAGCCGAGAGCCCAACTAAAAAATTTCCACTGTGATCCCAAATGACGACTCCAACACCACCCCTGCTTGAATTTTTTTACCAAGCCATCGAAATTACACTTTAATAACTCCAAGGGTGGAGGACTCCATTTTTATCGGTTAGAAGACCGTGATACCTTTGGTTGTTTATGAAACTGCTGGAAAGCAACCATCCATTCCTCTACTCGCAGCCCCACCTCCCTTGGTGCACTCTTAACTCCTCTCTATATCAGGTCGTTCCGTGCCTTCTACAAGCTCCAACACGAGAGGGGAGGGTCAAGGCCGTCTGTGACACCCATGCCTTCAAATTAAGTTCATGAACTTGATGCACATGTAGGCCCAGGACTGCAAACCAAACTGCAGCTACTAAAGGGCAATCCCTGACGACATGTTCGACTAACTCCGAGTGTCTTCCACACACCAAACATTCCTCCTCATTGATGATTCTTCGTCATTTAAGCTTTCGGCGTGTGGGTAGCACGTCCAAGCAACCCCTCCACACACATATTTTCACCTTTGGTGGCACACATGCACTCCAGAGCTTCTTCCATAATACCAGGTCTCCCTCCTGCACACCTATGGACTCCACTGTAATCCCCATGATTTCACAATCTTTCCTTGCTATATGATAGGCACTCATAATTGAGAACTTGCCATTCTTTTCCCAATGCCATACAAGTTTGTCATTCACATTACAGACACTTAACATAATACTTAGCAGAAGTGCAACCTCCTCTGGACAGAAAATTTGTTCTACTAATTGATTATCCCATGACCATTGATTCTTCATGAAAAATTAGTTCATTGTAGTCTCTGTAGGATCTCGTTGAGTAATCAGGGAGATTATATTGTGAATGTCAACGAGATTTTCTTGAGATTGCTTGATTGACAAGTAATCTTGTAATAGCCCTAATAGAGTAAGAATCGTGAAATCTTAAACCCTAATGCAACTAACTTATGGCAAAACCCTATTACGGTAAACATAGATTGATATCATGATAATATATTGATATGGTTGTGATTATATTGATATTCCTTCCAATAATAGAACACGATGGTGTTAGACGAAGTCAACCGTTGGTGGTAACCAACGCTTCTTGAAGAGTCGTGTTGTGCTTAGGAGTCTTATCTCCTTGTTTATAGGAATTCCTTTTGAATTATTCCTCTAACTGAAACCAGTTGTAATCTTTGTTGATTTTAGTTTGTACCTTTTGAATTTTGAACTTCTATGTAAGTAGGGTTAATTCAAACCCTGATTGTAGTCTGTAAGTGGTTATAAATACATGCATCCCACGTATTCAAGGTGTATGCAACTGAAGTGAAATCTCTGTGTTCTTAAGTTTACATGGTATTAAGCCTTACCGTCTAACGACAATGAACCTTGTTTTTTTTTTTTTTTCCTCGCTTCCAATGGCTGAAAACAATAGTTCTTCTTCTCAACCATTCAATCACGTTTCCCCAAACAATCTCACCCATCCTTTTTCCTCCATGACTACTGTGGTAAACATTAAGCTAGACAGGACCAACTACCTATTGTGGTTGGCCCAAATCCTTCCTATTCTCAACAGTCGAGATTTAATGAGGTATGTTGATAGCACTCTGGTGTGTCCCCCGAAGCAAATGCCTGGTGAGGCAACTGTTAATCCAGCCTACATCTCCTGGATGTAGCAGGATCAAATGATCCTAAGTTGGATCAATGGCTCACTTACTGCATCGGTTTTGTCTGTTATGGCCAGCAAGAGAAGTGCTAAAGCAACCTGGGAAGTGCTCGAGCAACGGTATGCTTCTTCTTCACAAAATAGGATTTTATTTTTGAGGAATGAATTACTGCAGACAAAGAAGGGTGATCTTTCGGTAACAGATAATTTGGATCGCATAAATGTGATTGCTGAGAATCTTGCCCTAGCTAGGCAACCTGTGAGTGACGATGAATTAGTACAGATTGTGTTGAACAATCTTGGACCAGCTTTCGAGATGACAGTCAGTGCTGCTCAAGCTCGTGATACACGTATCATGTATTCGACTCTTGAAGCGCTATTGTTGACCACTAAAGGAAGAATGCTAGGGCATGCTGCTCATGTGGTGGAGCAAGCTTCTGTTACGGCCTTTGTTGCTGCAAGAGGAAGAGGTGGAGGTCGCGATCGTGGTGTTGGGCGTAATGTTTCTCCCTCCAATCGTGGTGGAACGTCAAATCAACGAGGCTTCAACCCTCGTAAAAACAACAATCAGCGCTATGCTTCTAGAAATGGGGAACGATGTGCGTCCACTGGTAAGCACATTGTCTGCCAGATATGTGGCAAACCTGGTCATCTGGCTCTGGATTGCTATCAGAGAATGAACGCTGCTTTTGAGGGCTGCATTCCTGCCAAGCGTCTCTCTGCAATGGTATCATCTCCTATTACTCTCAACAAACAACAAAATGGAAATTGGTTACTAGACACAGGAGCCAATGCGCACATCACTCTGAATCTGCAAAACCTGGTAAACCAGAAGGAGTATAATGGTAATGATGGCGTTGGTGGTGTAGGTAAAGACTCTGATATTTTGATTGCACATTATGGTTCTAATAAAATTAATACTGATGCTTGCTCATTTAATTTACAAGACATCCTACACTGCCCTAAAGCCTCAACTAGCATCATTTCTGCCCACAAGTTTACATTAGACAATGATTGTTATTTATTAATCTTCCCACATTTTTTCTTGTTAAGGACCTCAAGACTCGGAGGACGTTTTTCCGAAGGAGATGTGAGAACAGCTAATACTCGTTTTCAGGTGGCGGTGGACAACTTCTAAATCCAGTTAAAGTCTTTGTAGGGGTTCGAGTTTCTGTTCAAAAATGGCATGCCCGTCTTGGTCTTCCAGCCAGTTCAACAATAAAGTTTTTAATTGCAAATAGATTGGTTCCAGTTCATGGTACCTCCAATGTAACCTTTTGTCAGTCTTGTCCATTAGGAAAGAGCACCAAGTTGCCTTTCAAAGTGTCAGCGTCTGTTTCCAATTGTCCTTTGCAGCTTTTACATTTTGATGTTTGGTGTTCTCCGATTATTTCCAATGAAGATTTTCGTTATTATGTCTTGTTTATTGATGATTACTCAAGATATTCCTGGATTTTTCCCATGAAAAATAAATCTCAAGTCTTTGAAATATTTATCCAGTTTAAGGCCA